AAAGCATTCTCTAAATTGCTAATGCTAAGTTGCTGAGTATGGCTAAAATATCTATAGTTATTGGAAATTCTAACATTTATCATGTTATAAATTTACTTAGATACACATTTTTAGGTTACAAAGTTATCATTATAAATCGTTTACCTTGACTACTCAGGCATAGAAACAGACTTCGGTTTCAAAATCAAAACAAGCCATTACCAATTTATAATGGAACAATTTTTACTGTAATTATAGCACTAATGGGATACATATCGATCAACAGGTATATCATTATATAATTTCTGTTCAGAGCATTTCTGAAATCATATTTGACAAATAACAGCTTTAATTTTACTTAAATTACCCTTAGAAATAGCAGTCATTTGAATTTTTTCAAGATCTTAAGATTTTCCTTTAAAGAAAAATTAGGAAAAAGTAAAAATAGGCAACATTACAAGTAAAAAACACTTGAACTGTATATCCATTTGTACCTAATGTAGTTAGCAGTAAGTGGCAATCTCTGTCTCACCATTTTTTTATCATACTTATCCACCTTTAATTCTAGCTCTTCTCCTCTCTTTGATTCATCAGTACTCACAAACTGGGTGAGGTTCCCTAACTAAAGTTACCCATTCTGGTCCCTTTAAGAAATAACAGGCTGCTAATCTGGATTCTATTTTATGCGGTTTAAAGCATTCTCTCTTCTGATTATTCAGAAGGTATGGAGGAAGCCATTTCTCTACTTTCCTTGACATCAAGCCAAGTTCCTTCAAATCAGTGACTAGGGCCCTTTTTTGCCTCTACAAAATGCGTACACGTGCAATGACAGGCATTTGTCACTGCAGCATTGCAGGATCAACAAACTGGGCCTATGAGTCAGTGCCTTTTAGTGTCTAAAACAGTTTAGAATCTCCTTTCTGAAGAAAGGATGCAGAAATTGGGGTCTATTATGTTGGATGTGGAGGAAAAGAAAGGGAAAAAGGTAAGGAAAGAAGCTTATGCTTTTCCTCAAAGCCCTGTTGCCATTCAAGTTAGCACAAATTAATTTTAGGACAGTGATGGCAATAACATATTCTCTTTTTAAATTAGCAACAATTACACAAAGTAGCCTATTCTAATCGCATGTGAACTCTAATCCCCCAAACTCTTGGGACCTTGGATTTTAACTTTTTCCATTCAGAGATTTTCTGGCCTCTTAGAGACAATTCTAGCAAATATGTGTATCTATGAAAAGCAAGTTATTTTCTCACTAATTAATTCAAAGCTCAGAAATGGAACTCACTCCTAATACTAAGTTCAACAGTGGTGGGAATACAAGAAGCTACTTGCAAAATAGGATAAGGTGGAGGGAGTCTGACTGTTCTGTGGGTGACATTGAGGGAAGTAGCAGACAGCCAATGTACACTGTAAAAAGAGGGTACACCATTTCACAGAATAATGAAGAACACAGAATTAAGTCAAGTCTATCTGTAGATTAAGGAGAACACCAAAAACTGTAAGACTAGTCAGCACACAGAGCTCTGCTTTAAATCCGGTTATCTGGGTTCTGAATCAAAACACTTTAAAGAAGCTGCTTCTCTTTCAGAGCTCACTGCCATGCTCTATCAGCATCTGAAGAGAAACTTTCCTAGGCAGCAAATCATAGAATCATAGAATGGTTTTGGTTGGAAGGGACCTTGAAGATCATCTAGTTCCAACCCCCGTGTCATGGGCAGGGACACCTCCCACTAGAGGTCCTTTTGTCAACAGAGTACATTTAAGCTGGAGAATTAATTACTGTGTAAAGTAAGGTTCCCTCTGATGGACAATGAAAGGCTAAGGGAGAAAAAGTGTAATCATAGGCATCAAATGATCTGAGAAGGAGCACCCTGGCCAGGCTGTGACAAGATGCCTTCTGAAGCAGAAGGTGTACAACACTCCCCTTCAGTCAGGGAGCCGGAATTCCAGCAGTAGCTTGAATGGCTTTTGCTTTTACTCCTCTGCATAACAAAGAATTATGAAAGCCCCACTATTACACGAGTTATTTAGTTGTCATTTGTTATTTGTTTTTGTTTTCTCCCTGAAGTACAAAACATTAGACGCTCACAGTCTGCATACTGAAAAACTCTTAATTCAAAGATCAGAGGCTCAAGACAGAAATGTACATGACTCATTTTCTCAAGTAAGGCCTGTTTCAGTGAGCTTGTGTTTTATAGACTCAGACACCAATAAACTCAGCAACAACGCTGATAAAGTTATTGATTTCAAATTAATCTCTTCTTTGCCAGAGAATCTTCTTTTTTACAGCACTGATGCAATTGCAATGTAAAGAAGATAGAGTTGCATTTTGACTTGCCATGCAGAAGGTAGAGCTTGGCTCCAGAGCCACATGGAGCTGGTGGAAGTCAGGTATGTTTTTCATTTTGTTAAAAATATCCAAGCTTTTAAGGCAGCACTTAAGGAGAGCATTAGATTAGGAAGTTCTATGCAAGCCTATAGAGTAGAAAACCCATAGAAATGCCCTCTCATTCAAGCTTCCACAATACCCAGCTTTTCTCATCGGGCATTCAAATTAGGATTTTCTTTTATCCTTAAGCATATTCAGTTCAACTATCAGCTTGCATTTACAAAAAAAAAAATATCAAACAACAAACCAACAACAAAACCACCTCAAGGCATATGAGGTTAAATGTATATGGAATTCTGCAGCCAAATCCATATTTAAATGCCTACTATGTGAAAAGCTGAAATGCTAAAAGAAAAGAAAAACTTCTTTTAAGTAAGGACTTATTGTGTAGCTTTTAAACACTATCCATATAATTACCTAAATGAAATCCAATGTTCTTTCAAAAATAATGACCTGCTTGCAAGAAGACAATCAGCACTTTTGACTGGCAAAATACAGTAAAACTGTGTCTAAATCACACGTACACATTGGTGAAAACTCTGTAGGCCTGTGGACTCTACCAGCAAGAATAGATTCAGCTTCATAACTCGCACCATGTCTTCACTTCAACGTAGATATACTACTGTGCATTCCTTTAAAATCACAGTAATTTGCTTCACACAAACTAGTTTAATTAACAGTTGCCCTTTCTAAGATGAAACAATTCCCCTGACTGACAATTTATAAAAGAATTATTCCCAAGTCAGATTATCTTTGTCAGTTCCACTTTTCTGTTCTTCCCCCCTACCACGTACAAACATACTTCTACTTTGATATCTATTCATCAGCAAAATAAATCCTTTTCCTTAATGTCTGATGCGTATACTACAAACTGCGCACAGAGATCTGCACTGAAAAATTCAACTCTTTGGAATTTTCCCATACAATATTCATAATATTGACTAGTCAGTGATTTCCAATTGACTAGCAAATAATTAAAATGTAATCACTGGGAAGTCTAAAAAATAGCCAGCTGAGCATGTATCTTGTAACATAACCTGATTCTCTCAAATACAAGTATTTTACCACTGTCTTTGTCCTGCAGTCACAACAGTCATGAGGTTGGCACCAACCAAGATGCACAGTTTTCAAACACTTAAGCTCCATTTGATTTTGATACATCACAAACTCCAACTATTGTTTTAAGTACTCCTAAAGAAGCATGAACTCTATTTCCTGGAGCTGTTGTACCGAGTGTCACTAACGTTTAGTTATTTACATTAGTTTGTTTAATGGAATCGTTCCAGAGGCAACTGAAAGGAAATGTTTCAACTCAAGAGCATAGCAGTAACAGAGAAATTACAGAATGAACAAAAGCAGCAGCTTAGACCATACATGAATGGAAGTCTGCACAAACTGATGGAGGTCTCTAGTAGCGGAAACTCAGAGGCAAGATGTGTGGCATCAGGAACTGATCAAAATAGTTACTCGGCTACGTACACTTTGGGGTTTCTAGGAGCAAAATGGTTCCCAAAGTGCATAATCTTAAACAGAGTGATGACAGAATTCAGAGCAAATATTCAAAAGCATATCACAGAGAAGTTTGATAAAAGCCTGGCCACAACTGAAAAGCGACTTTCCAATGAAGCAAACCAACTTTCTCTTGAAAGACAGCAGATGGTGGAAACTCCCTTTCCCACAGCCAGCTTGAATCTCTACCCAATGCATAGGGGAAACAGGCAGTGCCATAGCCAATGCATCTAATCCTCTTAGCCCTATAAGTAACCCGTTTTCCTTCAACAGCACTATATAGCATCTGTGGAATACCTTTAGAAACCCAGTTATTCAAATCTTTCCAGCAAAAATAATAGTGCCATTTCCTTGCTTCCAAAGCAACAAATGTAACATATTTATTTGTAACATCCTGACTTCGGCTTTCAGAGCAAAACCCAGACAAATACTTAAAAGGAGGCACTGAAGTTTAAGGATTTTAGAACACACTAGTTTGATGGAGTTTCTCTCTGACCGGTTGCAGATGTTTATTTAGTTATCATTTGGACCAAAATTCTACACTGAAAATTGCATTTGAGAGGAGTGAAATAGACACAGCAGGTGCATAGTGGCCCCTTCAAATAGTCCTTTAATCAGTTTTTAGCATTATTGAGCACCAAAATAATTGACAAAAAAATAGAGACACAGCATCCTCCTAAGCACATTTTAATGTACGCTTCTTTACCTGCACTCTCAAAAGGCAAAGTATTCGTAACTCCAATGGAACTGCAATAATATACTTACCTATATATACTGACAGGAATGATGAAACAGCTTCAGCAATGCTAGTTCTGAAGATAACAATTACAAAATAATACCAGAGCTATGGAAGTGTTAACCTGAAAGGACTCACCTGCATTTCAATTTGGATAATAACTCTCACTAGTTATATATCATTTAAATGACGTGACTGAACCTTATACAGAGTCTGACATTAATCTAAGTACCATCATATATAAGGGCTATGTACTGTATTATGAAAGCAAATACTATTCACAGCTTAGAGATAACTCTCCCATTTGCTAATTAGTCATTTTAACAAACAGATGAAAATGATCTTTCCCAGGGAACAGAACAAAAGCCACGGAGAGAAGCTACTCACATTCCTTTGAGCCGTTGCCACATTTTCTCTGCGTGTCCTCCTATTTGATACTTTATAGAGGTGCTTTCCAGTTCCCGAGTTGTTTCCGTCGCTCGAGCCCCCATCGTTACTGTCCTACAGCGATACAGTTACAGTCAGGCTCACCAGCAAGTAAAAGCATTCTTTAGTCCACTACAAATGTCAGAAGATCCACGCATGTTAGACAGTAGCTGCTGTCATATCAAAATACATTAGAATTAAAACAGCTGAGGGACGATCCTGCCTGAATCGCTATTCACTTTGATAGACAAATCCACTCTTCCCCCCTCCCCCCCCCCC